CCAGATATTTGGATATTCTGGATATTTAGATATTCGGATAAAATGTAGATATTCGCAAATCCGTCACATCTCTGCAGGCTGCAAAAAGGAAAAGGACACAGATGCATTTTGGTAATGACGCCGGTATTCTAGGTTAAAACTTAAATGTGAATCTCCTTTCAGTGCATCCTATGTCCAAGCGTTTTGTAATAGACACATGGCTTTGTTAATTTCCGTGCCTCGAAAAATCTGTTGACTGTTTTGGGCACGGTAATTAGCTGAAATGGGCCCGGATCGCTAATTTCCATGTCCAAAAAATCTTTCGACTTTTTTAGGCACGATTTTCCTTTCTGAAGCTCGTGAATGCTGCACTCCATTGGCTTGTAAACTGTATGTCGCTACAACATCAATGGACGGGGTCACTGATTTCTGGTAATTTTTCTTTCTTCTATCTTCTTACCGCGATGTAGCTAAGGTCCCAATCTCATAGCAAAACAAAACAAAACATAGCACATAGAATATGGGGCTTTGTCAGTAATCAAAAAGCGCCGAGATCATCGAAAAATGGTGCCAGTTGCTCACTGTATATCAAAATTTGATGTTTTTTTCCAGAGTAGATTACCTCGGGATGTTTGCATATTCAAAATCAGCGTGACGAGTTACCTTGTACGGCGCAAATATCTCGTCGGCCCCCTCTCGATTTTTGGACCCGGTTGATGAGCTTCTCCTCCGGAAAATGCTTTTGACTTCATTATGTTTTTTACCCATTTGAACACACATTATCTCTGACTATCATGATCCAAAGAAAAAGCCGGAAAGTCATGGTAGTCAAAAAGAGTTTTTCTAGCTACTGAATATAAAGAAGATAGTATGATTTATTTGTTAAACGTTAATCTGAGATATGAAGAGCTACATATCCCAAAAACTAAAAAGGGGCTTTTTCTAGAAAATACATAAGCTGATATAACAGTTGGAGATGGACCCTCTGTAGTTAATTTAATTTTAATCTAAGAAGTTGGCAGACTTTTCAATCGATGAAAAGAGTTTCACCTGGTGACAGCGTCTGACGTTACAACTCGGCAGGGGTGTTGAAAATTTTTGCGACTGCTATGTTTGTATAAACTAACGGATCTGAACGGATGCGCCCTAATATCCAGCTAAAAGGTTTTCTGGACCTTCTCTGAAGATCCGAAGGGAGGATACAAGTATTTCTGATCGATTCGTGATGATTGATTATCTATATAGTGTAAGTTTTATTATGCGTAGATGACTGTTTTATCTTATTAAAATGGACTGATTTCTGGCGACATCTGTCTCTCAACTACGTAAACGTTTGCTGAGGTTTTTTTCTCTCTGCATCAGTAATTATTTTTTCAGTCATCTCCTTGAAGATTTTCTCTCTTGTGTAATAAATAATTTTCTACTTTTCTCTCTTGTGATTGGCTCATCCATAAAATATCTGAAAGCCACACACAACACATCAGTCAGCGTGTCGACACAAAAAATAACTGACAGAAAATGACGTGTCTATACATGTCTGGCACATATGCAGAGTGCCTTAGGGTAATTATGGTCAAGTCCTCAAAATCTCCTCGTATTTCTACTATAACTCACTCAACTTTTATCCGAGAAAAGCAATATTTTACAGGTAAATAGAGATGACTCCTGGCTGTCAATTGAAGTAAAAATTCTGAAGGAAAGATGACTGCGATAATCTTAAGTTAACTTAGTTTCGACGGGGATTCAAGGAAAATAAGTAAAAATGATATCATCTTGTAGAGAATTTCAAGCTGTACCACCTTTATGTACTGCATGCTATTTGTGCTTGCCATTAATTAATTAATTAGAAACTACGAGAATGTATGTTTTTCGAAAAAAAGTCACTTGGACTAATTTTCGTTACGCAGCTATTTTTCATGGGGTGTTTATGGTGTAATTTGCACGGGAAATTCAGAATTTAAATGCCAACGGCTTTCAGAGACCGATTTTACATCAATAACAAATAGAGACGTTATAGACGAGATTTTTCTCTATTATATGAAGTGAAAACTGGAACAAGATCGCTTGGTTCTGGCGATTTGTAGCCGTCTGATGAGTTTTGCTAAGTTTTAGCACATTTTTGTACCTGAGTTTTGACAGTCCAATTAACTTGGTACCTGTAATAACTGTGTAATTAAGAATGTGTTCAGCTTTTCATATTCTCCAGATACTCCTCGATCTCTTGAGTAAAAGAAAACGAGAAGAATAAATTTTATAGATATTAAATAAGATTGATTGATTGATTTTTATTCGACAACAGCCGTTTGGTCAGAAAGTACAAAAATCTAACAAACACAAAACATGTTGTCAGGAAAGCAAAAAAAGTTTTAGAAATCTATAAAAATTGCCATATTTTATCCTATATATATATATTTTTCTTTCCCCCTTTCACAGTTGTAAGTGCTGCCTTAGTTTGGTTTTAAAAGATTTTATTGCCGACGAGATAACTACAGTGTTGGGGAGAGAGTTCTAATCGCGAGCTGTCCTGTACAGAAAAGATTGTAGAATAGTTTCAGTGCGCGCAAATGCCCGATTTTTCGATTTCAGAATTGACGTCAGATGAAGAGAAATGTTTGAGATCCTACACCCCAGTAATTTCATATCGTGACGTAAAAGTTTTACAAAAATGAAAAAATCGGCCTCTGTTAAGTTGTAGCCCTACATCTTAGCTACATTCTAAAACCAACCCGAGCTCTCTAACGTTAAAAATGGCAGAGAAATCTAGGACGGACGAAGACCCATTTTTGGACCTTAATTGTGAGCTAGCTCTTGATAAGTTTAATATTTCGAGCTGAAATTGTTACTGTGAGTTCATCATACCTAGATACACCATCTCTGAAAGTTTCATTAAGATCGGATGCTCGTAAGCGGAAATGGATTTTTGGGTGGGGGGCGGGCCTTGAAAAGTACACTAATCGAACTTAAGAAAAGCTCATCATTTATACTATCTATAAAAAACTTTTTAATTCACTTCATTCTTGGTTAAAAGCGGTCTGAATTTGATAATAGCGTCTTGAGCTCCTTGACTCAAATGCTGCATAGTTTGAGTAAAAATGTATGTCTTAAAATTTAATTAATTATGGTTAATCGAAAGGTGTTCTCTGGAAATTGATTAGTACTAATTAACGCTAATGAATTTAAAGAAAATGTTGAGAATCTTGATCATAATTACCGCAAGGCACTCTATGCCCACATGGATGTGTGTCACAGACAGAAAATAAGAACTAAAAACCAAGGTCAGTTTCGCGGTACTACGAAGAGCTAGAGAGGCAAAAGACAAAAACTGCACTATTGTTCTAATGAAAATCATTTTGACGTATAGGTAAGTTATAATCTATACCTGCATAGTATATACATGAAAAATCTTCTTTCGCACATTCAATAGAAAAAGCTCAAGTCTGAGGGCAAGAGTATGGTATCGTCCTGATTCGTCGACTAATTGATTTCTTTCCTGACTCATAGACAACATTGGATAGGGGAAGATGAAAGTTGTTAGTGAAGCGACGAAACAGCAAAATCATATCTATGTAAATTATACAGGCTAATTTGTCTATTCCAGCATCGAAAACTGAGTCGAATGATATACCTTTTATCTTAGCTGACAATCTCTGTTAACATCAGGAACAAAACGATGAGAATAAAAAACAGAAAGGAAAAGTGTTATGGGTGTTTTTCGTTAAGGACCAGTTTTTGTGGATTTTGCAACCTTTCTCGTATTTTGCCTATTTCACCACGAAAGCTTTGTCAAAACGAACTAAGGTCATATTCGGAATTAGCGTGTTATGATCTGCCTCCCCCGGCCGTTCATAAGGTTCATTCTCTCTCCATTCTGCTCTTGTACCACTCTTGCGCTATTCTGTTATTGCGCACTCTTGTTTCATTCTTTCGTTTTCGTTTCCTTCCGCAGTGTATTTTCCCAACTCTTTCCGTTCTTGCGCAACACTTGCGCCATTCTGATGTTCCTAACTCTTTCTGTTCATATGTAACTCATGCGCAACTCTTGTAAAACTCTTGTTTAACTTTTGCACTACATATAGCCGTTCATTTGCTTCAAATAAAGATATCGAAGTGAGAGTTGATTCTCACTACAGCTTCACTTTTACGATTATAGTTAGCCACTAGAGGATCCATATCCGCACATAGCGTACTTCACTCTATGCAAATATGTGTCTTTAAACTAAAAATAAATATGTACTCTGAATTACCGGCATCTTATTAGTGTGCATTCAGCCTTTTCTTACCTAATAAAACGATTTTCCAACCATTACATACCGTTTTTATTACTGACTTAAAACTGATATGACATCATATATCACATGTTTATTTATTATAGCAAGCAAAAATATTTTTTTCTCTCTTGTAAACTGATATGTTTCTTTTTGAAGGATCTGGAAATATTTGCTACTGCGTGCGGCTTTGGATTAAACAATACGCTATCGAACATTTTATACACGATCTATTTCGAGTAAGAATCTCCAGAGATGTCAGAATATCAGTACGCAGTGTATTTTCAAAAAGACACTATTTGCTGGGCTTGGTGTATTCTTACTGACAATACACGAGAATATACCAGAATACGCAAATATTGACAATACGTAATATAGTGTCGCGGTCGGGGGGGGTATTGTCAGCGAGAATACACCTAGCTCAGAAGCCCAGCACATTTTATAGAAATTTATATATTTGCGTATTCTGGTATATTCTCGTGTATTGTCAGTTGGAATACACTTGCTGGGCTTGGTTTATTCTCAGTGAGAATGCACCAAGCCCAGCAAGTTTGAAAAAAAGAGTCTCTTTTTGAGAATACACTGCGTAGTGATATTCTGACACCCCTCAGAATCTCTGTTTTTTCAGGTGCTTCATGCATCTTTTTCCAGATGTTTTTAGAAACTCGCCAAATCATCAGACGCAAGGCATCATTTTCAATAACGTACTAGTCTGCGACTTACAGCACAAGTGCCAGCAACACAGCCTTTAAAACCATGCGAATTCTACATTGGAACATTTTAGACGGCTGTCACGATCCAAAGCGTTTGGAGCAGATCAAATCCTTCATCGTTGAATATAATTGCGATGCCATCACACTGAATGAGCTCAACAATTGGGTCACCAATGGCACAATGCAATATATAGCATCTGGGTGGGGTTTCACTTACGCCTATGTAAAACCGCAAAGTCGATCTGGACATTTTGTGGGATTTATGTCAAAGACACCTTTCACAGTCCACCAGTATCCAGAAGCCAAAGAGTCCATCTTCCATCATGCATTGCTCCACGTCTCTATGGATGATGATGTTGGGTCAAAGCTGAATATTTTTGTGACTCACTTAACGCCACGTTCAGCACTTGACCGTAGAGCTGAGACTGAGGAGATTGTTCGAAGCGCTAAAGAAATGAGCATGCGAAATGAAAAAGTTCTCGTTTTTGGTGACTTAAACACCTTGTCACCACTAGACAAGAAGCATTATGATAAAGACATGCTGGTAGAAAGTTTGCTCTCCAAACAGAACCGTGATGTGCTGATGAAGAAGTTTTTACGAGAGGGCATGGATGGCGTAATCGTTGACTACAGACCCATGTCAGTATTATTAGATGGTGGTCTGACTGATCTGATTATTCGTTACTGCGGTGATGATGATCTGCATAACACAGTACCAACAAAGATCAACGATGATGTTGCCCATGCTGCAAAAATGAGACTTGATTATGTGATGTCGAACGCTCATTTCTCTCCTAAACACTGCTTAGCACGTGTCATTGACGATGAAAGTGTTCAATACGGGTCAGATCATCTTCCTGTAGTGCTTGAGTATTCATCAAAGTGACTATGTTGAACGAAATCATGCAGCTGTAAAGTTAATCAATGTTTAATTGGCATTCAAATGTTACTTTTCAAGTTCATAATTCGAGTGACAGTGATGACTTGTCATAATCTTAAGAATAAGGGATCTAATGTTAACGTCATTTTGTAACGTCAGCTTTTTATGGTTCTATTTGTTGTCTGAATGTTTCAGAACATGTTCTCTAAGCGATGTACGAAGTAGTACTCTCTTTTTTTCTTGGTATATAATAAAATCAATAATAATGAAAAATAGTCAAATGTGTCAACAAATGGACTGAACTGAAGATATCACTCATGGTCTCAACGGATATTTTTTATTTCTTTTTGATGTCAAAATGGAAAAAGCCAATGCCTTTTAACGAGGGGCATATGTTCAACAGAAAAATAAATCATTTACGTACGGTTTTGACAGGCATTGCCCGAGGTAGCATCAATATTTAATGACGACAGTGTTACGAGCTTATTACATTTTAATTATTGCTCTTTTAATGGCTCTAACTGATCAGGTGAGTAGTGGAACAATCATATCAAGCAGCGCATACCCATTAGGATAAAAAAATCCATAAACGTTTGCTTGTTTGACCGTATTTCTAACCACAGCACTTCAGAAAATGTTAAATCGCTTTTTGGATAAAAGGCATGAAATAATGTGTAGTTGATAATGCTGAGCTGAATACACTAGCTGCAGAAACGCATTCACAGTGGTCTCTTATAGTGTGGACATGTGCTATAAGTTCTATAAAAAGGCATTCACAAGTATAGAAAGATACTTTTTTCTAGGTTTAATCTACACTCATGCTAACGGTTTACTCAAAAACATTTCGAAACGCTTTCTTTATAGTATTCTACAATAATTGGTTTGATTACTCTTTAATGAACCGCACACAATACTTTGATTTTCAACATCAAATGTAGTACTAAAATCTCCTATTGTAATGACACTATGTTGTGAAAAGTATTGCGATCACTGAAATTGAATGGGCATGTGTTCCTTGATATGATTGTTCCACTACTCACCTGATCAGTTAGAGCCATTAAAAGAGCAATAATTAAAATGTAATAAGCTCGTAACACTGTCGTCATTAAATATTGATGCTACCTCGGGCAATGCCTGTCAAAACCGTACGTAAATGATTTATTTTTCTGTTGAACATATGCCCCTCGTTAAAAGGCATTGGCTTTTTCCATTTTGGCATCAAAAAGAAATAAAAAATATCCGTTGAGACCATGAGTGATATCTTCAGTTCAGTCCATTTGTTGACATATTTGACTATTTTTCATCATTATTGATTTTATTATATTCAAATAAAGCATGATATGTTGTTCGCTCTTGAAAGAGAGAGAGATTAGAACGCATATTTACCTTTTCTGGAGAAACAACAAAAACCGAACGGGTTACTATTAAAAATTATAAAAATATGTGCGTTAGTTTTGGTTTCTTTTTCTCTTTATTCAAACATTTCTATTTTTTATTATTTTAAAAAAAATAAAAGAATAAATATTCTAAGGTTAAAAGGATACTTTTTCTGCGGATACGTTTCTTTTTCGCTGACGAGGATAGTTTTGCTTTTAAAAATTACTCTGTTAAAATTATGAGTGCTGGAGAATCAATATCTGATCTTGTTACTAATGGTGCTACAACTGCTTCTGCATCACGTTTTTGTAGTACCGAAAATTTATTTGATGAAACATATCAACTCGTATGGCTTGATCAAAATGTTAATGAAACAGAAGATAATTTAAGTACACAACAAAAATTGAGAGGAATTATCAATCATTTAAAAGTATTTACAAATATCGACGAATGTGAACAATATATTCACCAAGGTTTAGTAGCAGGCCAAGATGATCAGAAAGTCGTTTTAGTCGTCTCTGGGCGATTTGGACGTGAATTAATTCCACGTATTCATCAGCTGACACTAATAGTGGCAGTTTACATTTATTGTATGGACAAGGAAAGCAACAAACAATGGGCTGATCAACATCAAAAGGTAGAATCAGAATGCGCCGACTTCTGAAGAGTAAATATGGTTTTTTAGGCTTGAAACGTTTTTTAACGGTTATCGACGGACGATACTGATTCTGAATATGAATTTGGTATGTGCTGTTGATGCGTTTTTGGAGTGTTTTCTACAAATCCAACTTCTGGTGATCCGAACCAATCAATGGAACGTTTCTGAGTCAGTCATTAGATACAACATCAAAAACTGAATATATCATAAAAATTTCAGCTTTCTCAGACGAGTATAGGATGAGTTATGAGAATAAGAAACATGCCTTGGGACTTTGATACTCGGCAGTGAAGTTAAAAACGGTGTTTGGTTAACAAATACTCGTCCAGGAAGGCTGAAATTTTTAAATATCGCACAAAAAAGCTAGGATTTCCTAAGACTGCTTTTCTAGAATCCTCTTACAAAACTCAGTAAAGGTTGGAATCAAGTTCATATTCGGAATCAGCACCGTCGATAACCTATAAAAATGTGTGTTTCGAAACGAAAGTGTTTTATCAGTTATGATGGTCTCTGATAAATTACTGATTACGCACATTGTTGTTTTGTAATTTCAACTAGATCAAAGATATTTTTACAGATGCTGATGAAATGATCCGTCGATTGAAAGAAGATCAACGTGTACGTGAACGGATCGATAATAAATCAATTGGCATAAGTATTTACAGCCGTCTTGACGGAAACGGTGAAGCAGGTCAACAGCAACTTCAAGAACGAAATGCACTGTTTCTACACTTACAAATGTTGATTGAAATTTTACTCCGTATGAAACCATCGCCAGAAAATGCTAAAAAAGATTTGATCAATTATCTTAACGAAACATTTAAAGACAATGATGCTGAAGTGGAATTGATTGGCGAATTTGTCCGTGAATATAAACCACAATGGGATCGCTTTTGGTCATGGTTCAAATACAAGCCAGAAAAAGCAATATGGTGGTATACACGTGAATCATGTTTCTATCGTCTTTTAAATAAAGCGTTGAGATGTCAAGATTTTGATATACTCATTGCATTTCGTTTTTTTATTATCGATTTATATCGACAACTAACGAATGAACATGCACAATATCTCCGTACCTTGTCAACTGATGATGATCCGATTCTTCGTGTTTATCGTGGACAAGGTATTGGTGTAGATGAACTGCATCTGATACGTGAAAGCGTTGGTGAATTTCTATCCATGAATAGTTTCCTATCGACGACAACAAATCCAGCAACAGCACGACGTTTTGCTAAGTATGTTACACCTACCAATCACTTGCAACGTATTCAATTTGAATTTGTAATTGATATACGAATGAAAAATACCAGACCATTTGCTAATATTCGTCATTTAAGTTATTTTCAAGACGAAGATGAGGTGTTGATTATGTGTGGATCAATATTCAAGATTAAAGACGTTCAATTTAATCAAGAACATGAGATGTGGATTGCCCAATTAACATTGTGTTCGGATGATGATTATGCATTAAAAGAAATTTTAGTACATGAAAAGAAGGATTTAGGCAGTGTACCGACTTTAATGCATCTAGGACAATTCCTATGTAAAATGGGAGAATATGACAAAGGTAAAATGGTTTTTCGTGAATTGTTAAATGAGGCATCGTCAAGTCATCATGATGCACAAAGTTGTTATTTGATGTTGGGTGCTGTTGCACTCGAACAGAAACAGTATCAGACATCATTAGCAAATTATTTTACATGTCTTCAAATCCAATTAAAAACTTCGTCTCCATTCGAATCACTGATCGTTTATCAGCCCGATAATAGTCAGTGGATTGCACAGACGTATTCAGCAATTGCACGTGTTTATTCAGAAACACATGAATTCGATAGGTCATTAGACTATTCATCGAAAGCACTCACTCTTCTTTCATCCGATAAAAATCATCGTATGCGTGGACCTGTGTATCGTACGATGGCCAATGTCTATCGAGACAGTAATGATCAACATCAATACGAATTAGCTTTACAGTATTATAATAAAGCATTTGAAATACAACGCAAAACACTACCGAAAGATCATCAAACTATTGGTGAAACATATCAAGACTTGGCACTTCTGTACGAAAAGCAACAGAACTACACGCTAACACTTCAGTCGTACACAGAATCATTGCGAATTCAACGAAAAACAGTTTCATCTACGCATAAAGATTTTCAAAAACTTAAAATTCTTGAAAATAATATCGAAATTGTCAAACAAAAAATCATGAACCAACGTCGATAATTATGGGAAATACTTTTTTGTCTCTAAAGTACATACACTGAGACGATGAAGAGGATTTGAAAGAGTGTTTAAGCAGCTTCGGATTCAGTTACGCTTCAGAATTCCAAAACATTTTCGATATGACACTTATCTTAGTTCATCTGCAGAACAAGAACAAGGAGTTCTCCTTGAAGGCAATGCCTCTGCCTGATGTCAATGTTTTTTCTCTTTAAAGTGACGTACGTGAAGAAAGAAAACAACAATTTCTTGTACTTTCGCAATGCGAATGAAAGAACGAAAGGTGTTCGCCACGTCAATAACATGCATGATGAGATGTGTGTCATTTCATTGAGAAGGAACGACAAAGAAGAACGCAATAGCCACCGACAAACATCGAACAGAGACAAAGAATATTGAGAAGAGAAATATCGTCACAACTTCAATGGTAGCACAAAAAATTTTAATTAACAGAATATTAACAAGAAATTCTTTAGCACTACAAATAAATATATTCTTTCTACACGTAGATATTATTTCACTAAAACAGACACTTCTCCAAACTATTGGCATTTTCTGTCGACGATTCTAGACTGCGTTTCTCAAATGAAATAAATAATACCATTCTTAAAAGAAAATAGAGAATAAACGAAACACGTTTCGCACCATAAGCTCAAGATATTCCCTATCATCAACGTACTACAAATCTTTTCCATTAGCAAAACACAAGTACAAACAATTTGTAAACTTTTTCAATAATATATTCGAACAGACCACACTTGAATGTATATATCAATTCTCATTTTCATCATAAAACTAAATGGAAACAATAAAATTTCGCAAGCAACTTCGATTATATCACTGTTTTCCAGTCTTTTGAAAGCATAAAGCAAATTAACGTACACATGTTTTTTTGCATATCGTGATACATTTCATGAAATATTTTCCGTTTCGCTTGTAAAATAGAATAAGATCATATGTTGGTAAGTTTTGTTTATTCTTATTAAAACAGTGTGTAGATGTAGCAGAGCGCCCCGACAAAAAATAAAAATCTCGGCTATAATTTTAGAAATCAATAGCAAAACTAGTACATTTTAAAATAAAACAGAAAAAGATGCTTACGAGGGAACCTCCCCAAATGTATCTTCGTTTTTTAAACGAAATATAGTAGATTGTAGGTAATCAACCATGCTGATTTCGAATATGATATTCATTTGGGTTCATAGACCTTTCCCAGCTGGTTTCTGGAAAACCAGTTTTGCTGTCTCAGTTTGATCAAAATTTCGCGGACTACAATCATGACTTATTTAGAAAAAGTTGTGGGGATTTTTCGAGGTTGCTGGAAAACTGGTTTTCCCGAAACCAGCTAGGAAAGGCCTATTAACCCAAATGAGTATCATATTCCAAATCAGCATGGTTGATTACCTGCAATCTACTAAATTTCTTTAAAAAACGAGGCTACATTTGGGGAGGTTCCGTCTTTAGTTTTAAAATAAAACGTGAAGTAAAACTTACATAAGTTAAAAAAGGACAAAAAGTAACATTTGTCAAAATAATTTAAATATCACGCCGTCAAGGTCAAAAAATTTTATCCACGGTTTCTTTCACAATGAATTCATTGTGAAAGAAACCAGTGAAGTATAATTAAGTATATTTAAATATACTTCAGCAGGGAAAACTTTCGTTTCATGCGTCAAAAGTGTAATCGTTTCTCAGACAATCGTTTATCGATTCCAGTGATATAGTATTTTAGGTTTAGTGCTCAAACTCTATTAAGCGATCAATAATTAATCCTAGTCTGTTTTTATTATCATATGCTTCCATTACTTCAAAGTGTTCCGTAGCAAGATCAAAAAGGTTTTCTAAAGTATCACCCCTACATTCATCGAGAGCAAGCGATTCTTCTAGGTGATCAGTCTTAAACGACGATCAGCACAGTAGAAAGACTGTAACCAGCCGTCGAACGTAGACAAAACTAGACGTCAGGACAAATATTCTAGTCTGATTTCAGGTTTTACAAATTTTCTATGTACATGCTGTCACTATGTTACCGTTTCGGTAGCTAAAGAATCTTTTCACAATCTTTATACAGTCTTTTCTTTTGAAAACAAAGAAATTGTTCTCTACCAACGAGTGTCTCACTAAACGACATTCTTTATGACTGACTACAAGCCAAACATGCCAACGATGATATGTGCCATCTTCCAGCGGAGCGTACATTTGTTGATCGAGGTTATTCATTGGTCCATTGAAAATTACTTTTGGCATTTTCTCGCTAATGTCATACCAAAAAAACAGATCTCTTTCTTACGAGTTGAATCTAATTCATTTGGTACATAGTCACCGGTACTCAATGACAGCACAAAAATTTTATCTCTCGGAATTTGATAATTCTGTATAGCTTTTACATATGCTATCATTGCACAGTGGGCAATCACGTGGACATTAGGTGGAAAAATGAAAGTGAGATTTTTTGAGATATGAATAATGCCCAATATACTTTAGCTAATGACGAATTTTTTTATCCAAAAATGTTTTTCTAACTCTCTAACTTACTTGAAGAACCTAGGACCTGAAAAAGGTCGGATTTTAGGTATCTTTTAGAAAAATACATTTTTTCATAGAAGGTAGAAAGAGTGAAGGAATAAATCATACATATTCTGAAAGTAGAGCTCGTGGTCTACCTGTTTATAAAAAAATTTGTCCTCTAACTCCTTTCCTACGAAAAAAATAATCTTTCTTTCTACGCTCAGAGTTTTTTCTTAAACACCTGTTTAGTAAAGTGAGTTTCCTAATTTTTCCTAAACTTCAAATAAAATGAAACTTTCAGAGAACACTCTTCTCTATATGATACGTGTACTGTATTAGCCCAAAATAGCCCAAATGCTTCTGGACCGAGATATAGGTTTTTCAAAAAACTTTGGGTTTTCAGGTTTTTTCACGATTTTCTCGGCTCAGAAGCACTTTTAGACAAAAGTAACGACAGATTCAGAATCAGCGCGAGAAACTGCATCGAATGATGTGTCTACCAGCTGGCTCTGAGCAAAGTCATTTTCCACCAAAAGTCCAGCCTTAGTTTAGAAATCCTATTTTCGATTATTTCTTGTCCGCAATGTTAAACTACGGGTCTGCAATGACATAAATCTAGGTTAATGGTGTTTGGTTGTGGTAAGGTTATGGACAAAGGTAAGACCTTGGATACCAGGATTTTGTAATAGCAATCTGGATTTGAGGGTACCGTCGATACGGTTAGCTCAGTAGGAAGAAAAAAGAAGCTACAACCTCTCTGGCTCACACTGCAGTTTGTGAGCAGCCGTTAACCGTTCGATCGAGGCCACACTCTCAGATTGCTATTTTTGTGGATGTATTTGGACTCCCGTTCAGCTAGAGACGGTTTACTGAGAAGAGCAGAAGACTAAGGAAATCCTTAAACCTCCAAAGTGAGTCCGAAAGGATAGGGGATGAAGTCTTCAGGAGGTGTAAATCTCTAGAGCTTTGGCAGCCAGGCTAGAAACCACGCGTCGATTCCCCCTGGTCTGGAGGTTTATATCTGTGCAAGTCACAAGAAACCCTTAGGTTTGGACCGGCCTTTAAGGATCCGGTGCACAGCTGCGTGGATACCATGGGTGTCAACTTTTAGCATGTGCATGAATATTTTAAGTTATATTTTTTAAATATTTTTGAGCCAAATCAGGTCGTAAACTCAGTGAAATAAAACGCCTGACTCTGTTTTGAAGGCTCTAAAGTAAGCAAAAGAAGCTTAATGACTTGACTCGTACCATTAAAAAACGATCAAGGGGTGGTGGTGGGCACTAGGCAGAGTGTGACAAAGTTTTTTTCACACGGCAGCATCGTAATGAGCATCTTCTAGAAGATAGAAAACACTTCGCTCTGATTTTCAGAAAAAAAAAGGTCTTCCAGAGCCCTAGATCTCCAGAAAACCTTCTGCAAGGTTCTGAAAAAACGTTTTCATTAAATTAGAATTCAGCATACTGGAAAACCTAGAAAAACAATTTTCTCACAAAAAATAGGCATCTTAAAGGCCATTTTAGCCTCTAGAAACCCAATGATCTCTAGAAAACCCAGTTTGAAATACTTTAAAGCTCTGAAAAGCACTCCTATGGAAAGAGCATATACGAAAACCTATAAAAATAGTTTTTTGAGGTTCTTAGAATGCTTTAAAACCAAACGTCCACATGCCTATCAAAAATTGCCCACTGTGCATTGCGGATTATTTGCCCGTACACCACCGTCAACATACAAAGATTTTTCAGCACCCATTGTATCTGGTGGAAAATATATATGCTAGTGCAGCTGGTTTACACATTAAAAATTTCTTTCACTTTTATGTTTCTTTTACATAAATCTACATCCGTACGACAATCACTACTATAAAATATTATAGATCCATCACTATTAGATTTTACTATTGGTATAACAAGATCAGTTAACTTTGACGAAAAAACACATTAGAAAAATATTCATTAAATAAACGTTTTCGTCCGAACTCTGTATATTTTGGACTTAATGGTAAGAAAGACTGGAAATATTCAATTGGCGAATCCGAAAGGGAAAAGTGGACGTGTGTCTGGTAATGAAAATACAGTTTCTGCTTTGAGTGAATAACAGTATGTTCGTGACACGGCATAACGGCAAGACCCCATCAGATACAATTATGGAATAAACTGATAGTTTCAGCTCTGACATCATGTGTTGATATACGTGCATTTAAAATTGATTAGCGATGTTCCTTACTGTACTGTTACGCTGTTCCTACCTTCTCGTTAATTACTTTCCACACTGGACTCATCTATTTGACATTTTATTAATGTCGTTTTATTCTTTCTTTTATTTCATTTTTATTTGCATAATTTTCATTTCTTCTTTCTAATGGGCAGTAAACATTCAAAAAGTATTATTGTTTAAGGATTATGTTAAAAGTGGAAAAAAATAGAACTCTTCGGTATAAATTGGAACTGTGTTCATTGTTTCAGTATACAAAAATACTTTTTACAATTTGTATAGCGCGAGTCTTCCTCTGTCTATACGAAACGGTTCGCCCCAACAAATTTTCCCAGTTTGAAGAGGATACTTCGAGGTATATGTCCTGAAGTATTCTAGGTTACTGACATTATTTGGCTGAGAAAAAAATTAATTACTTTAGAAAATATTATTAAGTTTTTGAACAAGAGACTACTATTAAAAGAATTCCTGACCATTCTCCATTCATCATAAAAACTTGGTTCTTGTCTAGATCGATAGAGAAATATGTGAAGGATATTTGCTAAGAGAAAATATGTAAAAATTTTTGTTCTTTTCTTTCTGTTATTGACTAATTAGCACTAATTAAGGTTAATTTAGCTTACTCTACTACCTTACAGTCCCATTTGCAAAGTAAGGATTCAACAAAAGAATTTAACCTTTTGACTCCCAGAATAGCAAAAAAGCTACACATGTTTTATAATTATTTTTCACAACTTAATTTATAAGAATTAGTACGTAATCTCTTGGAATGAAGCAATGGAGCATTAGCTAATAAATAGCAAATGCACTTATGTGACACTGTCTGTAAAATAAACTAGGAGAAAACGATTTTATTAAATCAAATATATCTAATTTATCTAAGGATTATATAAGTCTTCATTTCCATTCTTTTCTTAAGGGTTCGAACTATCATTTACATTCCATTATATTTGCTAAAGTGTCGGCTTCAAAAGTATAACTCGCTTTTTTTCAAATTTTGTTTCGTTGCTGAGAAAATTCGTTTTTTCTAAATCAGTAGCGAAAAAGTGGGAATTCTGTCCGTAGTTTTCAATTTTCTCGATCAGAACTCAACTTCTATATAATAAAAATATCATATTTAGAATCAGGATCAAAAACTCAGTCGACTGATCTGTATTTCGAAAATTTCAGCTGATTTCAGTTTTGGCTGAAAATCTTGATGGTTTTTCAACGTGAAAATTCGAAAAAAACTAAAGTACTCGAATAGGATAGGGATACACATCAGTGGATTCATTTTTTCATCCTGATTTCGAATATGATATTTTTATTGCATAAAAGTTGAGTTCTGATGGAGAAAATTGAGAATTACGAATTACATATAAACGAGCAAAAAAAATTTGGGACTCAAAGGGTTAAACTATACCTCAACTGACAGACAATTTCACGAGCTACAAGACTGGCTAGCTTAGAAGTTTTAGAATCCAATTCATTCATTAGAATTTTTTTATAACAGTCCCGTGCTCAAAAACTTAACAATATTTTTTAAAGTAATTAATTTTTTTCTCAGTCAAACAATGTCTAAAAGCACTGCATCATAAAAGATAAGAACCGCAAAGAACAAAGCACGAAAAGAACAAGAACAGAACGAAACAAAGGAAAGTAGTCCTACCGATGTACATACTAGAAAGAAAGATTGTGACAAATAATCGTCACACTGATTAGTGCTCCCTTATCCATCTCATGAGAAACTTTCAACGCATGCGAACGCCTTCGAAAATTTTAATGAATGAAAAGTAGTTTAAAAATTAAAATCCCTTCTCATGCGAATACCGATGAAATGCATGCGAAGGCGTTCGTCGTTACATTTTATCCCTTCACATTCATTAAATAATATATGATAAAATAATGTAAACAATTAAACATTTGGCTAGACAAAACGCATAGTAAAAAGCATTCGGTTTGCCTCCTAGGTTTCGCTGGGTTAACATGGAAAGAAAGTAACAATTAATTAATAAAGCGTTCTGCTTACCGAAAGAATTATTACAACAGTTATATGTATTTTTCCTAAGTACACATGAACAGTTCCATGTTAATGTTTTCATGACTCCTTGTGTAAACAGATTATTGAAAATTTTTTTATTGACATTCTTTGAATTTTTTACGTTTCTTTTAAAACTAAGTAACTAGTTCATATAACTGAAAAATATTTTTGTAAAATCATTTTACACAAAAAGCGAGCTTTCGATAGTTCACAGTATCATCATCAGGCAAAAAAATTTCTTTGCTTAGCATTAAATTAAACAGTTTCAGACGAATTAATTATTGGACAAAATGTATAGTAGATGTGTCTTGTTCCTAACTGTATTTACCAGCGTACATCCGTATGTTCTACCTGCTACTCTACATTATGAACGTTTGCCGATTAGTGAACAAGTACAAAAATATCTTACTGCATTCGGCAGTGTGAACCTGAATAGTGGCAATATCAGTAATAATTGGTTAGAAAATTCGAATAAAATTGGTTTGGGCTACAATCCTCTGTATGGCAGTCCTGTGTGTTATACCGGTACCTGTCAGATGGAAGGATTCACACGTTCAATATTCAAATTGAATTATCTTCAATCGGCACCTGGAACATGCACACAAAAATTTATACCCGAACAAGTTGAATTAGATTGTCTGCCATCGACCACGTGGGATGCCAGCACAGAAACAATAAGCACATTGGAGGAACTGTACCAATCAATAACTAATAAAGTTGAAGTATCTGCGAGTGGTAGCATTAAGACAGCTTTATTTTTATACACATTTTCAGATGAAACACACTATATCATTGATAATATTGTTCAAAAGGAACGAACAGTGACATATACAACAGCACAAATATCCTACGTGAAATTGTCAATGTTCGAACCACTGTTGGAATTATCAGACGATTTCAGATATGTCATTGATAATTTACCATGTTGTAACTATGATTCTAATACTGAACAATATATTTATGAGTATATATTTAACTATTTCGGTTTCACATTTATTTCAAATCTATTACTTGGTGGAATTGCCCAAGAAATTCTTCTCATAGATAGGGAGTCTTATGAAATAATGATAGAGCAAGGCTATGATATAGAAAATGAAGCAAAAGTGGAATTTTATGTCTCGGTAGACGCTACACAGCAGTCAAACTATGATAAGATAACACATGATAAATTTACATCTGAAGTACAAGAAAAGCATACATCAACACTGGGCGGCGATACATCGATAACAACAATTGAAAACTAGTCAGCAACGGTTCCATCGAATCCTGTCATTATCAAATTCGGCATTCGAAGCATTTTTGATTTATTAAATCATGGTCGATTTCCTAACGACTTATTGATACAAAGTAAATCAGCAATAATTGCACAAGCGTTAAATAATTACATTGTTAATCCGGTATACTGTTATAACAATTGCACGGACCATGGTAGTTGTGTACCAAGTTCATATTTTCAATTTGGAATATGTAACTGTAGTGAGGGCTTTTAAGGTTTTGATTATTCTGTTAAACAATTAATAACAGCAACAAAACAAAATTCAGGGAAACCAGCACACAGTGGCACAATGTGTGCATTTTTCGATGTTCAGTTTGCCATTCTTCAACTTTTTATTTTAATGTTATTTTCGTTCTCATTCATGTGTTGATTTTACTGCGTGCTATTTATTGCAATTATTCTGTCTGTCTGTTTGTTAACAAAATATCGAGTGAACGTATGAACAAATTCTTTCCGGATTTGACATCTAGGCTAGAGCGAGGATCTTCGATGGAACAATATTATTTTTTATTTACAGAAACCTCACTTCCTTCATAAGAGAAAAGTTTATTATTATTCTTGTATGTCAGACAGCTTTACAAATCACACTCAATTTTTGTCTTTTGATATTGAACAACTTTTGTTGAATAAATGTAGTATAGTAGTAGGGAGAGAGAGATTCGATGGGATATGCTCGGCTGTTATTCATTTTATCTCATTTTGTTTTCCCTGATAATAGAAGACCATTGGTGACATTTATTGTAAAATAATTGTCAACATTAAAGCGGTGAAATAAGACTTGAGCCTACAAAACGAGATATGAATAACAGCCAAGTATATCCCATCGAATCTCCCTCTCCCTACTACTATACTACACCTATTCAACAAAAGTTGTGCAATATCAAAATACAAAAATTGAGCATGTTTTGTAAAGCAAACATTGCAAATGCTTTGAGGCTCATGGGTTCTTATCATCTCAGAAACGATATAAACATCTCACGAGTTTCTGATTGTGTGACGTATCTGAATTTTTTCTATATAAAATACTTTTTATCTAGGTTCTTAGGCTCTTGGGTTCTAGTCGAGCTGAAAACGAATTTAAAAGTTTAGGTTCGTTTCCGAGATGACAAGAACTCAAGAGCCTCAAAGTATTTGGAATGTTTGCTCAGCGTTGTTCAGCATATGTCTTGATGATTTAAAGCATATTTGTGGATTTTGCTAGCGTCTTTGAGTGAACTTTGAGCAACTATAATCCTCTTTTGTTGCTCCGTTACATATGAGAGATCATCTAGATGGCAATTCTAGAGTGTATAAGCAACGAAAGGAGAAAATACAGTTCAGCTATAGAGATCAAATGCACCGCTTTAATTTTTTCTGCTTGATATACCGTTCTTTATCCTTATCAACAATTACTTTTGTTCAACCGCGCTACGTTCAACGAGAATAAATGCTGCTCAGTTAGCGCAGCCTATAAAAATAATCATCTTTGGAACTGTTGAGACTACCTCGATGTCTAACTTTTGGGTCTCGGCCCCCACTGGATCAATTCTTGTGTTATCTGTTCTTCTGTAGTTATTTATATTCTCTCTTTCTTTGTTGAGAAAGTAAACAAATGTAAATAAAACAGTCCGGATTTATTGTGGTCATTTTCTCTGTTTTTGTTTAACTAAACAAATTTTCTATTTTAATCTATATATTCGTTTATTCGATGTCCAAAAGAAGCAGTGCTCATTCGATGCTCTGCCAATTTTGCAGACTGAAATTAAATTAACTAGAGAAGGTCCATTTTCACTTGTTATATTAGTACTATATACTCATGTATTTTCTGGAACAAGACTCCTTTCGGTTTTTGAGATATGTGGCAATTCTTCTATGGAACTGTCGCTGTCTGATTTTTATGCTGAATTCCTCAGTCGTATTCTGTCCCGAGCTATATTTAGAAAAAGATACATTTTTCTTTCTGAGATAAATGTTATATGCCAAATAAGGGAAAAGTGGCAAATCAACGAATAAATGGATCAAACAACATGCATGTGATGTTGTGGTTTGAATTTTTGTTGATTGTTTTTTCATTTTCGTTTATTCAACCTGATATAGTCCAGACTTCGACTTTGAACCTAAAGCTTTTAGCAAAGACTATTGACGCATAGACTAACACAGCCTGCTAGATGAAACTTCTAGCACTAATTTCGTTTCTTCTCAAAGACTTTTAAAAAGTAGGAATCGCAGCCAGAATCGCTTATTTTAGTCATCGACGAGGACAGAATGTTTTGCTGTCGATGCTTTGTTCTTCCATGCTACAAAGAGTAATGATATTTCAAAAGCTATTGATCAGGTAAACAGTGACTTAAGAGACATTCCATGAGTGAATCGAGTACCCACCCGTAAGCTGGCCTGTCAATCGCGAAAAATAGATTTTGCTAAGAGTACATCGTTCAATTCAGCATGAAAAACTGGGGTGACGAAATGTCTTTTAAAGGAGCATAAACATAAATCAGAAACATAAACTTTTTTTAAAAATAGTCAATATTGTGCTGAACACATGAAAATTATTTGGTCCTCATCGAAGAGGAATGCAGTTCCGAAAAGTTTTCTGAAAACCTAAGCTAACTTTTCGAAAACAATTTACATTCCGATACAAAAACAAATCCAAAAATATTTTCGGCAACACCAGCAAATAGAGCAAACATTTCTGATCAAAATGTGATATCTCCCAGCTCTGAATGATGTTCTAATCAATAGTTTTACTGGAAGCCCTAAAACATGAATCAAATACTGGCGCCATCTTATCTCGAAACCCATGTCACTCTTTTTTTCATAATACCGCCGATTACTGACCGGTCTATAGATTACTGCTGGTTAACCGCACCGTTTCGGTATAACTACTCTTTCAGACCGCATTACAAGAAAAAACCGTCGTTAAACCGCTTTGACACAATCACCTTTTTTTTTTACGGTTGCCGGTCTACATAAGAAACGCAGAAAAGTGAAAACACTTCGATTTCTTTTGATATTAAACTTTCTCTTTTAGATTATAGAGGCTCGTCGAAGTTTGCACTTCGACTTGAGTCAAGTTTTTCCCGTTCGGATACCTCAGTACGCGGTATCCGCACCGAGGTACCCGAACGGGAAAAACTTGACGCAACATGCGCACTGCATAAAAAAGAAAGCTGAGAACTAGATTCGAACTCCTGTATTGTTTGCTAACACTGAGAAAATACCGGTTGATGGCGCCGGTACAACGGACCGGTATATTGCCCGGTTCGGTAGACCGTGCGGTAATTCCAGTTCTGCTGGCGGTATACCATGAAATGTAACAGACTGGTACGGGAGCGGTGATCGGGCGATATTTAACTGGTTTTGATGAAATGGGAAGTGGCTATCATCTTAACACCATTTTCTAGCTGCAAGATTTGCAAGAACGAAACATCGCAGAGAGCTCGGGAAGGTCTTAAATTGTAGCTGACATATGTGGCTAGAGGTCAATAGAGCCTGAGTTTTGGTCTGCGAGCTAGATTTGCGGTTAGAAAAATATCGTTACCAAAGTTAATGAGACTTTTTCGAATTTTGAAGCTTTGACGCTGACTATTAATTTGAACAGTAAAACATCAAAAATCCGGCTCTATTAGCCTCTAGCTAGATGTGTTTTCATCAATTTAAAACCAACCCGAGTCCGACATGGGATCCAAATAAACGATTGTTCTTTTGCATTCCTTCGCTAGTAAGTTTTCCCCAAAAAATTCCTTCCTTCGTAGTTTGAATTTAAAGTGATTGTTGTGTCACTTAGATAGGCTTGATGGTAAAAAAAATTTATGGAATTGGGTAGCTCATCGAGTATTTTGAAAATTTCTCCCATTCAAAATCCAATCTTTTTAAACTAAAACTTAGACATTCTTGATCAGCTCGTTGAACTATATCCAATCATGTATAAATACTCGAAAAATGTATTTATTACGCTTTTGCATTTGGTGCACATTATTTTGTATTTTTGACATTTTTTTCGAAAATGAATAATTTATTTAAAGCAGTAAAAGGTATGCTAAGATCTACAAGTAAAGTTCATCTTCGATTCACTTGATCCCTTGACGTGTGGATTTGTGCGTGCATTGTATTCTTATGATTAACGCGACCAAACCGCTCCTGCATCCCTGGTCAGGTTTAGGTATCTTGCTGATGAAGGATAAAAAAAGGAAGCACACGCTAGCTATTCTTGCCGTAAAATCGAACCAATATAATTCTATTCATCAATAAAGTTTACGTTCAGTATAATGACCAAGTTTCAGTCATCTACACCGTTTCTCTCAAGCGCTTTTAAGTTTTTGATTTCTTCGTGTGAACATACAAACATTTTAGTTTATATGACCTTGCCTAACGTCAAGGGAATAAAGCTAATCTAACAGTTGTTCATCGAAGATCACATTGTACGAAGTTGGTGCCAGCAGATATAATGTGTAAAATTTAATTTCTAACATGTTTTCTAGCAAAGTCAAATTTGCCAGATGCTTTCTTAGTAGTGGAAATGTCCATTATCAAAAAGTAGCGCTAATGATAAAAAAAAGAAAAAAAAAGCTAATAATAAAATGTTGAATGATAGAGGTGGAGATGTAAATGAATTTTGCATAGAATATACACAAGTCACTAGTCCATATAATCAACGTTGTAATTAGGGTAACGCTCTTCCTTGAAATATTCTTAGAAACTTTACAATAATCATGAAAACATATGCAGTCGAAATGAGGCATTATTTCCTAAAAACTGGCTCTTATTTATTGCTTCAAAGGCAAGATTTTTTGGTGAAATTGATTATTTAGGCAGCTGTAGCTTTGTACCCAGATTCTCTGCCAGTTGTAATTTTATAAAAACGTCTTCCGTGGGCAGCGAGAGCGCGCAAATTTTCCAAATTTTGGACTTTTTTCACTTTTAACCATGTCCGACTTCTGATTTTTCAGGATTTCTATCAATGAAAAGTGAACTCGCACCTAGCAATAT